AGTGATGACGCTTTCATGATAGCTGAGTAGTAGTAGGGGTAGTAGGTAGTCAACTAAATATAGTACAAGCCAATCAGTTGCGCTTGGTCTTTTGCTTCACCTTTTCGACCAGCTTCTTCAGATCATCCGATCCGCCCTCCTTGGACGCACTCTTCTTCTGCTTCTTCTTTTGTTCACGAGCATCCTCCTCGTCTGCATGTTCATCCCGATCCCTGCGTCGCTTGCGACCCTCCTCCAACAGAGCCTTCATACCCGAAGTCGCCTTGAATCGGGGGTTGGTGGGATCGATGGCGAACTCGTGGCTCTCGTAGAGTCGAGCGAAACGAGGATCGGTGACTTCCATCTCGAAGTCGTCCTTGGGAGCTTCAACTTGCTTGCCCTTACTCTTGCCCTTCTTGTTCTTCTTGCGAGCTTGTTTCTCCGCCTTCTCAATCTCGTTCATATCGAAGTGCTTGATGCCAGGCTTGTTGTTGTCGTCAATCATGAGCAGCTCCAGCTCCGCCCGCTTGGCTGCGGTCGCAGCTTCCTCCGCTGCACGCTCCTCCCGCTTCTTGCGCTTCTCTTCCTTACGACGAGCAGCAGCAGTAGCCTTGCCACTAGGGTCGTCGAAGAAGGGATCGTCAAAGCCCAAGTCGTCCTCCTGGGGCTGTTCCTTAGCATCCGAGGCATCAGCGGCATTGTCCTCCTCCTCGCCATCCTCACCACGCTTGGTGGCCTTGAGCTTCTCCTTTCTGCGCTTCTTTCTCTCACGCTCCTTGCGAATGTACTTTTCGATCGTAGTCTCATCCTTCTCAGGTTCGTTCTCGAAGATGCTGTCGCCCTTGGGACCACCAGCCAGACCGGAAGTGAAGGTAACCTCCATCTCACCAACAGGACCATCGGACTTGGCTGAAGGCGTAGGCTCCGCACCAAGACCAAGTAGAGCCCGGAGACGTTGCTTCTCTTCCTCCTTCTTAGACACCTTCTTTGTCTCCCCATCCCCGCGCGTAGTATCAACAATCTCCACACCACCCTCATCCTCCTCATCATCGGAGCTATCACTAGCCAGATAAGCCTTCAGGTCGTTCTCGTCAATATCCTTGCGACTACCCCGGAAGGCCCGAGCCTGAGCTTCCTTGCGCGACTTATCCTCCATATCCCAGGTCAGCTTGACCTTGCTGTGCTGCAGCGCATCGGTAACGAACTCGTTCGGCTGGTACCCATCGGGGATGCGTGTGCACTCGTCGCGGGGCGTATCGTCAGAGAAGTCAGTGTCCTCAGGCACAAAGCGGAGGTCGAAGAAGTTGGCGCTAGACAAGTACTCGGCACCATCGACGGAATCGTAAACGTGCTTTGCAACATCCCTGGACGAGAAAGTCAAGATAGCATAGAAGTAACGTAGGCGCTCCAACTGATACTTCCGGAGCTGTGTCGAGTTGAACTCCTCGCCTTTATCCTCCTTCAGCATGGATTGCTTGATCTTCTCTTCCTCCTCATCAGAGTCGAGTTCATCCTCATCATCAGAGTCACCACCCTTCTTCGATGCAAAGATCTCCCTAGGCGGCCCCTCCGTCTCCTCCCTCTCCATCCTCTCCTTACCAAACTCACTGGGATAAACAGCGACCTTCAACACCCTCCCACCAGTCGGCGCAAAACTGGAGAAGACAGCCATCAAATCCTCCGCGCGGATATTATCCCAATCCAAATTCACCACCGCAATGCGATCCGTAACATCGCCAGTAGGCACATCCGCCCGCTGCTTATCAGGATAGTCCAACTCCTCGCCAAACCCTTCGAACTCCTCTTCATCTTCATCTTCCTCGTCGGAGCTCTCCTCCTCCGAGGACGAAGACTCATCAAATCCTCCATCTCTCGCTGGGTCGTAAGTCTCTGCCTTTCTCAGCTCCCTAAGCACCTCTTCATCATCTGCAACGCTGGCGTCTTCAAGACCATCGTCTTCCCCGTCCTCGCCTTCTTCCTCATCTTCCTCACCCTCCTGCGCATCCTCGTCCAGCTGGTAGAATCGCTCGAGCTGTTTCTTGGTGTCATCGCTGGCGAGCTTCCGGCCGTACCTATCGACTGCGGCGTTGCGGGAGAAATCCTTGTCGCGCAACATGTGCGCAAAACGCTTGTCGAGCTTAACATGGGTTTGGCGTTTGCTGGGGAGACGGTAGCGAGGGTCGGTTTGGATGTTGGCGAATCTAGGGTCGGCTGATTGCAGCAAAGAGAATGGGTTAGTTATGTTTTACATTCTCGCTTTGAGAGATTAGGATGAATTGATGGTAAGGTACGTACTGATCACCGAGCCGGAGTCGTTTTTGGCGGCGCCGGCCTTCTTGCCTTTCTTTTTGTGGTCAGGCATGGTGGCACGCCTGTCGGCAATGAAGTTTTATTCAGATAGGAATGTATAGAATAAGTAATTCGACACCCTCTGGTAATAGAAGAAGAGTGGATCGTCTGGTTAAGGTGATTGCTGAAAAAGTGATGATCATGGATAATTTTCTGGCGGCGGAACCAAAGATTCTTCGGCGAGCCTTGGATGTGGTCCGTGCGTTTCTCCGAAGGTTCAGGTTAACTCCGTCGTCTGATTTAATGGCTAGACATGCTCAAATTGTGTTTTATAGAATTTTTTTTCATTATATCATGTATATGTAGTGAGATGCATATATATAGGCCTATTTCCACAGCTCATATTCTCCACGCTTAGACCCTGACCGTCACTCAACAGCCGAAATATCTCTTTTCAATCCACCGAGGTTCGCGCTCTTCCTCAATGCGACCAACTATAACCTTAATTCCAGGGAACACTGTGGTCAGTCGCTTCAGTCCGATCTTGCCTGCAGCGCAGGTCACGAAAATAATCTTGTCCTCTTGGACACCGTGGTCAATCATAACACGGACCGCCATTAGAGCAGCACCTCCACTGGACATCTGAGGGTCGAGGAGCATGACGTTCTCGTGGTTCTCAATATTGGGAGGGAGCTTAAGGTAGTGAAGCTCGGGTTCTTCGTTCTTTTCATTGGTTTGGATCAGCACACGACCGGTGATGCAGTCAGGTATGGTGCGCTTGAGCGCGGTCTCGAGGCAAGAGCCTCCGCGAAGAATTGCGACGGCAGACACTACACCAGCTTGGTTCAAACCCTCATAGCTAGTCGATTGAGGTGTATCCACTGCTTGTGATACATAGTTGGTCATATCCAAAGCCCTGTGCAGTAAACAACATGTAAGCTACGATTTGAGAAAGCCACGCGATGTGCGCAAAGTACAACGATGCCTAGGCTAACTCACTTCTCGATCAGTAAAGCGGCAAGGCGGTCGAAGTAGAACACAAAGTCAACTTGTTCCGTTGCCGGGTCCTGGAGGATGGTGTTCATGCCAACAAATTGCGGTGTTTGAGGCATCATCAAGACGTTAGAAGATAGTTGCTCTTCCGAGGCGATGAGACCAAGTCGGTTGAGCTCTGCATTATGCTTCTCTGACTTCTCATCAAGCTTGCGCTGAATATGCTGCACAACCATTTCTTAAGCCGGAGTTAGTGTGTTGAACCAAGGAAGAAGGAGCAGACACTCTTACCAATGGCCGTCCGGTTTTCGATACCACGGGGAATGATGATGTCTGGAGCTTGTCAGACCTGATTCAGCTTATGGAGAAGTCGTACATACCAGACACAGCTCGTTGGGGTTCAACGTATTGCTTGTATGAGGGCTTCACATAAGTGAACCACTGCTTGACAATACCTTCGACGTCTCTTCCTCTCTCACGAACATCGCGCATGACTAGCTTCCTCTCCGTTAGAGCAGTACCAACCGGTTAAGTAGTAGGATAACTGACTTCTGCGCCCAAGACAGACATCCATGTCTGCTTCAACAAAGATCTAGTAGATAACATGAGCGACGGTTCGGATCTAAAGGACGGGCGGAACTTACCTTGACATCTAAAAGCTCCATGATCCTCGGGTCATGCAAGGCCAAAATACCCTCCAGGATCAATACGCGAGGGGAATACAGGGTACTCGTTTCAGGCTGACGCTGGTGTTCTGCAAACGAGTAAATGGGGATATCTGCTTTCTTTCTAGATAGGTTGAAGAAACCCTGTCAGCTCCCATATATGGCACGTGCCCCACCAGAAACTACAACAAGAGACTCATAGATCATACCCTTGCTTCAAATCCCTTAGCGTTTGGACCAGAACATCAAAGTCCAGAGACTCCGGGCAGTCAAAGTCATATTGATTGCGGTGGGCTCTGGCATGATCCTCTGGGGACAAGCTCTTGTAGAAGGAGTCCTATACCACACCGCCGTTAGAGAACACGAAGTGGAGGGATTTATTAGGCTAAACAATTATGAAAGCGGTCGCATATACCATTACGAGAATCACAACCCAGGGAAGATTCAGGGACTTCACAATCTCCATGGCCACCGAGGTCTTGCCGGAGCCGGAGCTGCCTGCGATACCGATAATACTCAAATCCGCCCATGGTGGAGAGTAGCGCCTGTCTGTCGCGGACGAGTATACAGGGGAGATTGACTGCATCTTGCCGACCCTCACCGAAGAACTGACCTGCCGAAACGAAGGGGACTAATGACAGGCCGGCCTGATCATAACCGGGGGGAACAAAAGCAAAATTCAGTTAGGACAACCAGCAGCAAAGAAGCGCCGGCGACACAAGCTTTGGAACCGATAAGAGAGACTTCGGCGATACACTCCAAATCCAAAAGGGACCAAGTGATCGGCGCTTGCCCCAATTGGGACTAGGCGGGGCCGTGACCTTCGCTTGCGGCTTTAGGCTTAGCTGGTGAACGTGACCTAACACCCGCCGCTTTTTCTTCCTTTAAATAGAGCTCTTCCTTCCCGCCGTTTCTTTTTCTTCTTCTCTCTCCTTCTCTTCACTCACTCTTTTGCCCCGAGCATCCTAATGGCTCCCGTCTGCGAAGCTTTCCATCTTCACAGACGGCCTCTTGCTCGCTACCAGGTCACTTGACATTCTACTGCGAAATTCCGCATCCACTAAGCTCTTCACCATGTCCTCTGCCAATTACGTATGCGTCCTGACATGCCGTGTGTGCCGCGTGGTTGCCTGGTTTTAACAGGAAGCAGATGTCTCCCTCTTCCTCGACGACGCCAACATGGCATCAGTTCGAACGGAAGGTCGAGGAGGTGAAACCATCCAAAACGTGAGTGATTTACCCCACCTTTCCGTCGCGCGCCACGATTGCATGATGTACCTTGAAATCAAGTTGGGAATCTCTCTGAAAAATAACTGAGGAGAATATATTGACTTGTGTTTCTGAATCCTTCGTTTGACTTTGCCTTGTCATCCACAAATTTGCCAGATGGACTTCAAATGCTGACTGTCCTCTTCAAGTGATATCAATTATCTAGTCATGGATTATTTAATCACCAACGGCTACCCAGCTGCTGCGAAGAAATTCGCACTAGAGGCCAACATCCAACCCAGAGCAGATATCGAGTCGATTCAGGAAAGAGTTGACATTCGTACTGCAATTCATTCTGGGAATATCCAAGTTGCCATTGAAAAGATCAATGAGCTCAACCCACAGGTAAGACAATCCTTCTATCTCATCCCCTTCCCACCCACCCTCGTTGCAAGGATTATACGACGTTTCATGCACCACTCAGAACATCCCTTTTGGGGTTTGTTGATAAACAAACATCTTCAGTCCTCAGTATGAGCAGCAAGACAAACATGCCGTTACTTGTCATCACACCTATTTCATAGCTTTTTGCTGACTTGACCGGCTTAGATCCTAGATGAAAATGCCCCTTTACATTTCGCATTGCTGCGACTGCAGCTAGTGGAGTTGATTCGCTCATGCACCTCTTCCCCCGATGGCGATATCAGCCCTGCCCTTGAGTTCGCGACCTCGCAACTCGCACCGCGGGCACCCACCAACCCACAGTTCCTTGAGGATCTTGAGAGGACTCTGGCACTCTTGATCTTCCCGATGGATAGCCTGTCCCCGTCACTTGCCCCTTTACTACACCCCGACCTTCGTAAGGATATAGCCAACCGCGTCAACGAAGCCATCCTGCTGAATCAAGGCGCTCGTAAAGAGGCCCGGCTACGCAACCTGGTCAAATTGCGCGCGTGGGCCGAACAGAAAGCCCGGGAGGCTAAGAAGGATATACCCGAGAAGCTGGACCTCGGACTGGGCGATAACCCCAACACCCACAACAGTAATCCCTTGGCCAGTTCGACCAGTGCTAGCCACAATGGCTCTAACGACACCGTAATGACCAATAATGGGGATATCGACCCCATGATCTCATAAATCCAGGATTCGATCTGCGATCACCTGGTACATAATATTTCCATTTCACGTATCACCACACGAATTTCTTCGTTCACCATTGAGCACGGCGTTTGGGTGCAGGCTACCAGCAGGTGTCAAATTCAACGGCCCTCTTGTAACATCTACGGTTCAATATGGGGATACATAACATATCATGACTTGGCACTTTGGTCTCTGCCGACAGTTTTGTGTGCGGAACGGATTGAATTTTAGCAATCGAAACAGACCCAACAGGTTCTTCAATTGGCTTATTCGTAACAAACCCATGGTTACCTAGTAGTTAACCACGTTGCAGTCGCCTACCCTGCAGCAATGTCAAGCTATGGGTTGGGGCACGGAACAAATCAACATCATACCACCATGATTGGATATGCTAAACAATCGCTACACTGTCAATCGTATATAGTTGACAGCACGGTACTTTGTTTACTCAGAAGCAGTCAATTGTAGATTTCTATTCAGGAAAGCCTCGAAAGGCTCCCCTCCGCTGTCTCTAGCCTTCCGTGGCATATACTACGCGGGTATAAGGAGCCCCATGAAGCGCCGTGTACATAAGAGTTGACTTTGTTTTGTTCCACAAATCGGATACTAGTAGTTAAATCCTATGCTAGGAACAAATCTGCTAGCTACATCAGTAGATGGACTACACATTCAAGCGATGTGCCGACAACTGCCAGTAGAACCAAAGAAATACATATATATCGACTATATTCTCAGAGAGTGAACATCAACTGTTCAGATAATACTAATAAGTTCTTTCAAGGATTTCCTTAGAAGTCCGAATAACATGCACAACATGGCATTAACCCCATCATAAGCAACCGCAGCATACTGCACCAGCTGATTGCAAACTAATAACGCTGCAAAAACACCTTGGGAACATCAATCGTCTTCGACCGCAGAAACTCGCACGTATTCTTCCCCAGAACATCACAACTCGAAGACGAATTATAACCCCGATCAAGATGATCATGAAGCAGGAAATGCACCACTCTTACGCCAGGGATCTCGAATCGGTCGATTTGGTTCCCCGAATACTCAATGGGTCCCAGCAGCTCTTTGATCTTGTCCGTCGTGAGGAATGTTCTGAGCCAGTCCCATTCATCTTGGTGTTTCACGTAAAAGCCCACATTGCAGTTGGCTCCTTTGTCGCCGGCTCTACCATAGACGACCGTACCCAAGGGGGCTTTGACTGTCTCTCCGAAGGCAGAGATGTCAACGGGGTTGTCTGTTTCGTGGGAGGGCTGGGTGCCGTATGTTTGGGTCACGCTAGGTGGGTCAATTGTGATGACTTTCTTTGGATTAGTTGCAAGGAGGTGTACTCTATGCTTTAGGACAGATTGAGGAATTAGTCCGGTGTTGTAGTTGTAGTATGGCTTTGCGTGAACTTGTCGGGGGTCGTTGCTGGGGGTTAGGGCCTATAAGGTCTTAGCCACAGTAATACTAGTGATAAAGTAGGGTGACCAACCGGACAACTAGAAAGAAATGTCGACATGCACCATCTGAATAGACCTCTAGGTACATCCGTCCGCAAGATCTCCGGGTCTTTAGTCTGCGCAAAGACACGGAATATCACCGTTGCATGATCCTGACAGGTAGTATCAAGGGACGGGGACCCAATACGATGGAATCTCAGTTGAGTGAACCGGTGGATATCTTCACCAATGGCCTCTCGAATCTGTTCTTCAGTCCACTTGCACTTCTCGTCAATATCAAGACCCGTCATAAATGCGTGGAATTCGGCCTGATATCCTCCGAAAGTGGTGAACCCTAGTTTGGTCGTGGGAGGAGGTGGCATGCCCACAATGCCTGTTACCCGGACTTGTTCTGGGGCAATTTGTTCCAGCTTCACTGCTGTCAGGTCAGCAACGACGTCGGAGTTGAGATACCATGGGCCTTGGATTTCATATATCAGTTGCGATGTCAGTGATTCAACTGTCACGCATCCTCCGGTGTTTTTCTCTTTGGCGATTGTGAACTCGCCGTTGGCTTCGATCTCTGCGATGGGAAATCCGAGCTTGAGATGCTTTCCTGCTTTCAGAAGCGACTTGAATCCGGTGAAGTTGCCTCCTTCAAGGTATTAGTTGGTTTCTGCCTATTGCGCGATGCTTGATGATCATACCAGTGGCGTATCCGGAGCATTCGATAAGATGACCGGCAATCAATGCGCGTGCAAGTTCGTCATAGTTGTTCTCAGACCATCCATGCCACCACCTGCATTTGTGTCAGCGCCAAAGTATTCCGTTCAGTCTGATAAAACAAGCCCAACTGTGGAAAACTTACGCTGCAACACCAACCACAGGAGAAGCATCCGAGACTCTCCCACATATGACAATATCCGCACCTTCAGCCAGAGCCTTCGCAATGCCCCATCCACCAAGATAACACTGCGCAAATACAAAATTGGGATCGACCTCCGACAACGATTTACCCGAAAGTCGAATAGGGTAGTCTTCGTCGCCCTTCTTCCTCTGTTCAAGCAAAATATCCGTCACATCGTCACCTTCAATCCATGCAATGCGGAGATTTCCGTGTCCACTCTGCTGGACTAACTTTTGACACTCAATTGCAAGAAGCTCTGTATCTGACGCACCCGCATTGACCACGAGCTTCATCCCATGAGCGCTTAGGTCTGCGATGGCAGGCTCAAAGCATTGCAGGAACTCTTTAGCATAGGCGCCCTTTGAGCGATTCTGCTCGTTCTCTTCCGTGAGATCTCGCGCCTTGATCGCTGCCGTTCCAACCATATTGGATTCGGATAGCCAGTCTCCAATGATAGCATCAATGCTGGGGTCACTGGCAAAGGACTTGATTGCATCCCAGCGATCGGTGTTTCCTCCGGCACAGCCGGCGATCCGGACAGATCTGTTGTTAGGTCCTCGTGTCATGTTTTTGAATGTAGTATATCAAGATTAGTAGAAAGGAAATAGACCAAGTTAATGGGATATTATTTCTGCTGTGCTGATGAGATTAGATGAGATATGATTAGATACATCTTCCTTTTTATCTGGGAAAGCGTCCGGCTATTGACTCACCTACATCCTTTCAAGAATCAACCCCGTCAGCATTGTGACCTATTTGCGCTCCCTTTCTTTTCCTTCCCTCGGAGTATCACAGCATGTATGCATGTTTAGCTGATCTTGTGGCAAAAATGGTGTGATCGGATCGGGTCGCACGGCATCTCGACTTTGAAGTTTTCAGCTCCCTGGAGTCTGCGGTGCAACCCCCCTATTTTAGCTTCGCAGCATGCATGCATAACTTAATCTAATCTGGGGCAAATATGGTGTAGCCAGGTAGTATTGCAGATATAGTGCTCCGCACCTTTTGTCGATCTCCCCTCTCTTCATTACCAGATATGCTGTTAGCTCCATCGACAGCACCGGTGCGTGATTAGTATACTTGCTTGCAGTAGATAACCCAGAATAGTATATTGCAAGGTAACATCGCGTGGAGTACTATATGCACAATAATGACGAGGGACTTCAGCTGAAGATCTGCACCTTCAATAAACTAACCTAGATCTTGTGGCCAGGTCCAATTGGCAGCATTACTAATGCATCTTACGAGATACATACAGCAATCCCATGTACTACTAGCCCTGTCTTTCTCTCTCCACGGCAGTAGCCAGCTCATTCAGATCCGTGAATTTCCACGAAAAGGCAACCCTCTCCCTCAGATCCTGCAACGTCCCTCCCATCCCCTTCTGGCCCTCCTTCCCTCTCGTAATCCACGCCGACGTGATGCCCAGCTCCTTGGCAGGAACATGGTCATTAACTAAACTTTGCGCCACATGCAGCACCTCCCCTTCCTGGACTCCAAAGTCCGCATGCAGACGAGAGAACATGTATGCAAAGTTCCGATGATCGGGCTTGTACGACCCAATGTCTTCCGCGGTATAGACCGCATCGAAATTGACCCCTTCTAGTGGTCCTTGCAGGGTCCTACCAAAGGACACGTTGTCGACATTGGAAAGGATCACCAAGCGAAAGTGCCGCCCCAGGCGCTGTAGTGCATCACGAGTATCGGGGAATGCCTCCCAATTCTGGATGCTCGATGCAAATCTCTCGGCCTCGAGCGAGGTGCTGCTGGGATCGGGGTCGCCGGTGCTGCCCCTCAGGGACTGCGCAAGCGCAATGTACGCTTGTTGGAGGAGTTGACTATACAGCAGGGTTGGCTGCGCTTTGAAGATCTGCGCTTTGATCTTTTGGAAAATAGATAGAATCTCAGGAGTAGATGATTTGAGCGGATGAGTGTCTGGGAGTTGCGAGAGAAGTGGTTGAAGCGCCTTGATGAAGCCGCTTTCCCAGTCTACCAGTGTGCCGTAGCAGTCGAAAGAGAGGACGCGGAAGTCAGACAGCGCGGAAGCTTTTTCCGATCCCTTGATGTCAGTCATGGTGTTTTCTTTTCTTTTTTGGTTTTCGTGTTCAGCTGGGAAATTGAGTGGCGAGTCGGATTGAGAGGGGTAACTTACCCCTCTTTATGCTCAGGAACAATCTCGCTTGCGTCTTCTTCCTGGTGCATTAGTCTATTTCTTCATACATCTATCCGTACGAGGTCAGACCCCGAGGTCTAAGCTCATCCAGCTAGCCACCGTGCACCCCACCTGTGTCTCGGAGAAGCATTGCAACCTGCATGTAGCTGAAACTAATCAGGAGGATTGGCTGGATATCCTCTGCAGTACTGTGGCGATTCTGCAACTACCCTAGTCGGTCAGCTTGAGGGACTCAGAGCTACAGGTCTCGAGTAGTACGCATTGCAGCGACAACACTCCAACGAATACTAGCGAGACATTCCTAGTCGTGGTTTCACTTCTCTTCTCTCAGCAGTCTTTACCTAATTGCCATTGCTAATGAGGCAAGGAATGAAGATGTCGCCATCTAGGCTTTGTCCTACCACTTTCATTCTTCCGTGAGCTGCGGGTGTGGATGAGGGTTATAAAAGGGCTCTATGTTACCAGAACCATTGTTGGGAATGAGAACAACTCTCACATTATCAGTTAACCAATTCCCCTCTAAGTCAGAAACCTCTCTTAGAACTTCTCTACCTACGTTTTCAAAATGGGCTCTGTGCAGGATGGACCTTCAGTGCTAGCAGCAGACCTTCCAATTGCACCTCTGAGAACCATCCGATACAGTGCTCTGCAGAGTGGTGATCCCAAGGAAGTTGGAAGACTCCTCGAGGCGTGTATTCATGAAGGGTTCTTCTACCTTGATATGACAGATGGAGAAGAGAATCCTGCTGTTCTCCAGAAGGTGGATGAAATGTATGACTTCATGCGCGAGTGGTTCGGTCAACCTGATGAGGTGAAGCAAGAAGTACTGTCGTCCAACTATACTGATGGGTAAGCACCACGATCCTACTCCTATGGTATGTATATATGACTGACGTGATATTCCCACCGTCTAGCTACAAGCCAACTGGAATCTTTGCGGGTGTTCGTGAGAATACCAGAGACGCTTATGAAACTTTGAAGGTACATCCACGTTCTTCTCACACAAACTAGTATTGACTAACGCATATACAACAGGTCTCTCACATGGGCATCAAAAAAGGAGCAACAAACCCCCCACCCTATCTCCAAGTCCGCAAAGGAATGTTCGAGTCTTACCTCGAAGCATGCAACCAAATCGCCCTCCGCCTCCTAATCTGCCTATCCTCCCAACTAGGTCTCGACAAGTCTTCATCCCTCGAGACATTTCACCAAGACAAGGAAGACTCCAACTCAACCCTCGTCCTCCTCAAATACCCATACCAAGAGCCCGATCTCGAATCCCACCAAATCGGACACAACAAGCACACAGATATCGGCAGTATCACCGTCCTCTTCACCGACCAATGGGGACTCCAGGTTCTATCCGCCGCAGACCAGGGCCAAAAAGAAGAACAATGGAAGTTCGTCGAACCCCGTCGCGGATGCGCCGTGATCAACGTTGGCGATTCTCTGCGATTCCTTTCGCAGAAGAGGCTACGCTCTTGTCTCCACCGTGTGGTCCCTGCAAAGGGACAGACGGTTGATCGGTATACCATTGCGTATTTCTTGCGGCCGTCAAATAGTGCCACGTTTGTGGATAGTAATGGGGAGTTGGTGACGGCGACAAATTGGCATGATAGGAAGTATGAGGTCTTCAAAGCGACGCATGCGGATCAGAGGAAAGACACGATTTTGACGGGGGGGTTGGAGCCGATATCTATTTGATTATCTGGACTAGTGGAACTAGCTGACAACACATCAATTCTGTTTTGTTTCTTTTTACATTTCAAAAGCTTTATGTACATAAGCACAACTACTCCAGTAGAGACAAAAACAATCTATACAAAAAGATTCTCAAACCGTGGCGATGAAGAAGGTAGTGGAGATGATAGAGAAGAGCTTTAGCATGCACTGGCATTGCATAGATCTGTCATATATTTACTACGAGATTCACATGTAGATACAAAAAGCCAAGTGTCTGTCCCAATATACGATCTCAGTGGTGAAGAAAGGCTTCTATATAATTCCTCCATGAACATACTATGTAATAGCTAGTTCAATAATGTATTGACCATGGAAAATGCTCCTATCTAGTTCGGTGGCAAATGTAGTGCGGTAATATAATATAATTACCTAGACTAGTGTTAGGTAGCTGCGGCTGAGATAGGGCTCAAGGAGTAATAGCATAGCACAAGCTGACCTGAGAGAATAAAAGAAAAGAAGAACAGACACAGCCCCCAGGAGTGGCTCAGCTCGGGGAAACATTTACTCTGTAATATTATTTTGTTTTGTAGTGTATTTTATCATGAATGACTAAGATTCGAGGCCTGATCTAGTAGAGATCCAACCTACTTATTGCTTATCTATAAGCTAATCTGTCCTCGTCCAGCAGTAGTTAAAGGTAGCATACACGACTCAATTAAACATGTCATCCAGATCAAATAAAGCCTATGTATTCACATTATAACATAGAGAAACCTATAGTCATCCGATAGGGGAAACCCTATGTCAAGGCATGGAACCCGCAGACCATAACACTCACACACCACCACCGCCGCCGCCACCACCACCACCACCACTACTAGTTTGGAGTGCACCCACAGTTGGTGCAGCAAATTGGTATATTCCAACCAGTCTCAGAAGAGAATATACAGATGTCGCAGCAATCTTGAGCAGCATCGGTTGAACACCAGTAGTATCATATATCAGTCACACGATAAATAACAATGATGCGATTGGAGTTGAAGGTCCGAGGGGACAGTGTTAACTTGAATATAACAAAAATAACAGGCAAAGGTTCGTTGGATGGTTTCATACGAGATATCTCCTGTTGTTTGCCTCCTTTCGCTTCATGTCTTGATGAATGTCACGTTGTTCGGCTTCGTTGGTCGAAGGGATGGCTGCTACTGCAGTAATTATAAAAGCGGTAGAGATAATTGAAAAGAGCTTCATTTTGAATAATTAATTGACTGAAACATTTGGTTATTTGCAGGATGATGAGGATATGATTAGTATGAGCTGTAGACTTGGGAGGGCAGTGGTGTCTTTATATAGACGAAGAAGATGTCTGAAGTACTACATTGCCTACTACAATAGAAGCTCCGCAGCCGTGTAAATGTATGTTACTGGCTACAAAAAACGACACTACGCGGTAGTAGCATACCGATAGTACTACTAATCCTAGTTAGCGATAACCTCATCGTCCACCTATATGCCCAGAAGGGAAGTCTCAGTAAAAGCAAACAGGAGCTGAACTGACACAAGACCAATCCCAGCTCTGAAGTATCTTGAACTATCTTTAAAGATCAAAAAGCAAGCACTAAGCATTCTAGGCATACGACCAAGGCAATGAACATTATGATTAATGAATCCATGTTCCCATATAGCCACTTCTCATCACTATCTCTGATCCGCATC